CCCCAAGTGATGTTTTGCAGTTATTCGTTCTTTCTCTTCATCTCATTCTGCTTGGGGTATTCATGGTCAGCTCCTGTAGCTGAGGCATCAGGTTTTTCCATCCTGCTGGGCAACAGCTATAGGGGCCTGCCTGCTTCAGCAGCAACCATAAATACCTGCCGGCAAAGGCACCTTTACATTAACCCTTTCATGACCGAAATGTTAAACAGCTACCCGTTGAAAGCTTTTACATGAACCCAACAAGAAAAATACACAGAACACCGTCTGCCCTCAGCACACACACACACACACGCGTATGGGATCCCACAAGCACACTCCACACAACTACAATATTTGAAGCACAAAATCCAGACAATCATTACTCCCACTACAGTTCCACGTACAGAACGTGGCACAAGGACCCTGTGGAGACTAACAGAAAAACAGCTCCAAGAAGCATCATTGCAGTGCGAGGTGGCAGGCTCAACCTTAGCGGGCGTCCCCGCAGAGGCTCTGCCTCCCCCACATCGCATGAGGCTTGGGCTTTTATACTGACCAAAATGCACACTCGTTCCGACACAGGTGGCCAGCCTGTGCTGGAAGAAGTGGCCAGCAGTATCTACAAAGGTCTCCAAGGGTTGATAGAAACCTGGACATACTTATATTTACCAACTTCTAGTACATGAGTATCACAGAGAAACTGTATGGGCTCCCCCTGTCAATTGCAAGAAAAAATCATAACATATACAGCTTGAGTGTAAGAGGATTTTAACGTGGTCACTGTTTGTCAGGCCTCCTTAACTATTTTGAGATCAAGAGCTTCCCACTCTTTAGCCCCCTGCTGTGTAGTAAACACGGGATATGCAAAGATGCCCATTGTAGAAAATTCCCCAGTAATGATCGCATCCTTGGTTACCCATTGTTACAGCTGAGCTCCAGGGCCAGTGAGTCTGAGCAGACCTACCCGGGAGACGAAGAGTCAGAGTCTGGAAGCAGAGGATATAAATATGGCTCGGATTCAGGGGATTTGGGGGCTGATCCTGGGCCGAACTCAGGGTCTCCGTTGCTCGCAGCTGTGTCTTTCTTATCAGATGTCTCTCGTTCGGTATGTAGCCATCTGCAGACCTGGCTCCTCTGTAACCGAGTTAAAAATTTCCACTCTAGGGCATAGTGGGTTGGAAAGGCTCGCAGTTCCTTTAAATCTCCCGCTAGAGCATGATCTCTATTTTCTACTGAGTGCTTCAAAATGGCGCCCCAATCGATTTGGCGCCGAGGCACCGCCCTCTTTCTTTCGGATTCCTCGACATTTATCATGCGCATCCCTTCTAATATACTTTCTCTGTCCTTTTCAAAGTCCCTACTTTCGGAACTGGGGTGGTGGGGGAGCAGGGAGTTGCCCCTCCTCCGCTGCACCTTCTGATGAAGAAGGAGGGGGAGAAAAGGAAGGGGGGAGAACACTGTGCTTCGCGAGTTGGGGGAAACGAGTTGTAATCCTCCCCGGTTTCAACCGACCCGGGTGTCCTGGGTTCAGCAGTAGCAGTCATGTTTTTCCTTTGTGTTAGCTGGTGCAGTGTTGTGTTTTGACTTCCAGCCTGGGAACAGTGTTGGTGAAGCCAATGTTTGCGGTTGTTGCTAAGTGATGTTTACCCTGACCAAGGACTTTGTGAGGCTCATGCTCTGCCAGGGAGGAGGTGAAGCTGTGAGGAAGCAGAGATGGGGCGCCTGACCTGGGCTAGCCAGGGAGGTATTCCATACCACAGCACGTCATGCCCGGGGTGGGGGGTAACTGGGAGTTACCCGGAAGGACACGGGCTTCCGGGTGGAACTCGTTTTCTTGGCCGGTGGTATCGTATTCTTTTCCCTTGTTATTTTCCCTTATCATTGTTGTAGTTGATAGTAGCGGTGGTGATTTGTGTACATTGGTTGCTGGACTGTTCTTGTCTCAACCTGTAGGAGTTGAACTCTTTCGATCCTCCTCCCCGTTCCTCCGGGAGCGGGGAAGCGGAGAGCCCCGGTGGGGGCGGGGGGAGGGGGGGACACGGACCTCGATTGTTGTCAGCTCGGCACCACTCACTGGGAGTGAGTGAACAAGTTACCTGACTGGGTTTAAACCACGACACGGGGACGTCTGTTCCTAGTTTCTCCGTTGCTACCGCGGCAGTTTTCTTTTCCGCCTTGTATCTTTTTATAGTTTATTACTTCTTTCCGTGGTTTACCAAGTTTCTTTGCCGTTTTATCATCATTAAGCATTGAGTCAAATAGTTCATCACCAAACTTTCGCCACTCCCTCTCCTCAAAAACTGTATTAGGATCTACAAAAAATCCCTTAGCCTTCCCTACAGCCACTAGACCTGCTAGCTGCTTTAGAGTCTCAGGCTCAATTCCCCTCTTTTATAAAAAGCACTGTAATAAGTCCAGGACTACCGCTTGGTTCATTTTCATGGCCAGTCTTTTCCGGATCGTCTTCTTCTGGGTCGTCCTGTAACCTCGGTCTCCGTATCGGCCTCCTGACGCAGCAGTGTCTGGTTCGCCCCAGTGGTGGACTCCTTCCGGTTAGTCCAAGCACCCGGGTCCGTCACGCCACCGCAGCAGCATTGCCCGCGCTCCCCAGCCGCTGCCGCCGGCACCACTCACTCGCCATTCCGGGTCCCTGATACTCGGGGCCCTGTTTTCCAGGTCCCCGCTAACCGGGGCCCTGTATTCCGGGTCCCCGCTAGTCGGGGCCCTGTAATCCGTGGCCCCGTTAACCGGGGCCCTGTAATCCGGGTCCCCAGTAGCCGGGGCCCATTAGTCCATGGTCCCTGTTCGGGCGCAATTTGTAAGCAGCGAGGAGAAGCAAGACAGGCCAACCCAATGTGGGTTATAAGCAAACTTCTACTTTATTTTTGACGCAGTTCACTTATATAGGCGTGGAATTTAGCCACACCTCCTAGGCACAACAGTATTGGTTAGACCCACACAGCTTCCTCCACATTCTCCTCCCACCTCCGGTTTCTGGTTACCTGTGGGGCCTACCCCTTGCCTTGCTCGCACAGGTCTCTAAGGCTCCATGGCCCTGCTCAGAGCCATTCTGCAACATCTGGCTCCGCCCCCTGTGAGTCAGCTGCGTGCGTCAGCTGAGCTGCTGGCTCCTGGGCAGGTCCTGTCGAGGACTTGAGGCTCCCTCAGTAGCTCTTGCCGCTCTGAGTTGAGGCTCCTGGACGCTGATCTCCCCCCTGCTCCGGTGTTAAAGGCGTCCTCTCTCGAGCTACTCACCTCAGCTACTCACATTGTGAAGCAGAATTCACCAAGCGTTGGATTGTTCACCCACTAATAGGGAATGTGAGCTGGGTTTAGACCGTCGTGAGACAGGTTAGTTTTACCCTACTGATGATGTGTTGTTGCAATAGTAATCCTGCTGCTCAGTCAGTCTTGTTCAGAATGCGTGGGTGAAGGTCTTCCCGAATCTTTGTTAGCGTAGACAGGCCTTCCTCACAGGAGAAGGAAAACTCCTATCTTCAAACCCGGGCTGATGGAGCTTGTCTAGCCTTTTATGGTCTTCCATCAAAGAGAAAGACACTCTGTCCTGGGTTCAGCAGTAGCAGTCATGTTTTTCCTTTGTGTTAACTGGTGCAGTGCTGTGTTTTGACTTCTAGCTTGAGAACAGTGTTGGTGAAGCCGATGTTTTCGGTTGTTGCTAAGTGATGTTTACCCTGACCAAGGACTCTGTGAGGCTCATGCTCTGCCAGGGAGGAGGGGAAGCTGTGAGGAAGCAGAGACGGGGCGCCTGACCCGGGCTAGCCGGGGAGGTATTCCATACCACAGCACGTCATGCCCGTGGTGGGGGGGTAACTGGGAGTTACCCGGAAGGACAGGGGCTTCCGGGTGGAACTCGCTTTCTTGGCCGGTGGTATCGTATTCTCTTCCCTTGTTATTTTCCCTTATCATTGTTTTAGCTGATAGTAGCGGTGGCGATTTGTTGCTGGACTGTTCTTGTCTCAACCCATAGGAGTTGCACTCTCTCGATCCTCCTCCCCGTTCCTCCGGGAGTGGGGAAGGGGAGAGCCCCGGTGCGGGGGGGGGGGGGGAAACGGACACGGACCTCGATTGTTGTCAGCTCAGCACCACTCACTGGGAGTGAGTGAACAAGTTACCTGACTGGGTTTAAACCACGACACACTCTTACAAAACCTATGACCTGTGGACTTTGCTGTCACCATCCTAGGTAACTAGGCCGTGGTAGTTAAACCTCAGGTTTAAAAGGTGGGGCCAGTTCTGCGCAAGCTGCGCTTCACCTAAAAAATCCACTGCGCAGGCTGGAAGGGCTTACTCTCACTTGTCTGTATGGACGGGTGAGCGTCTAAACGGTAGGTGACAAGGTGCATGGGAAGCTGCAGATCCAATGTTGCATGTGGGCGGAGCAGCACATAGGTAGCTTGAGTTAGCTCAGGAGTTGACAGTCGTGGTCGGACACTTTCTGATTGCCTAAGCAGCCTTCTTTTCCAACCAGATTTGGATATCCCACATGCCCTTGGTCATTGTGCTTGTAGTAAGCGTGGTTAAAGCCCTTCCCAAATCTTCGCTCGCGAAGCCAAGCCATCAATCAATTAATAGAAAGCCATTCAAATGTAATATTGGCTGCATAGCACATTTGACATTATTGACCATTTTAAGAGGGAAAACATATATTTTCAACAAATTTTGGCTGATTTGGATATTAAATACTCCTGTAAAACCAATGGACTGGAAAAAACTTTTCAAATAGTTTAGCTGAATATTTCCTACCATTTCATTACAACAAATCACAATATTGACAGTTCAATAGAAAAATAAAAACAAAACATATATCTGAAGCATCTGATAAAAGAAGGGCATTAAATGAAATAAAAATGTTGCATTTCCCCATTTTTGTATTCTCAACAGTGATTTCATAAAGATATTTTATTAAGAATTGTTAGTACTTTGTAACTTTATTTCATACTTGTGACAAGGCCTGAGTTGGTGGGGAATGGAACAAGGAAAAAAAAAGAAAGCTCATTCAATTAGTTTGCAATAATTTTCAGCCATTTATTTTGTTTTGTAAAAAGGCATTATTACAACTGATCACAAACAGGAGAAATCTTGGGTATTTTACAGCTATAGGTACAGAACTTAAATATTCAAGCTTGTGATGAAAAGCGGCAACATGGTTGCAGTGTACAACGTAAAGAAATAGCTTTAGAAAGTGAGACAAAGTCCTTGATAACTCTTTACTAAGAAAACAAAACAAACTCTTAATTCTTTCCTGAAATATGACTACAGGTCAGTGTTTAAAAATTCATTTAAAAACATAAATTGAACTGTGCTCAGCCTAAAAACAGTCTTATAAGATCCAGTCTGAATGGGGCAGTGTTGAGGACCCAGTAAAAGTAAACATTTTCCATTTCTTAAAGAGAGGAAAAGAAAAAAAAAAAAAATAAGTGCCACAACATGTGCAGCATAAACTTTAAATACAAAAATATTTTTCAATTGTTGGGATGATAGATCATGCATTCCGGAAAGAAGTAACAATACTGCTACTGACAGAATACCCAGTCCATATCTTTCAAGTCACGTAAGGCTTTCATGTCACTGTGTAGCTTACTGCATATGGCTAAAAGAAGATCCAAAAAATGGCAGTCTTTGTTAAGTTCTCTGGCTACTCCATGTATGTTCAGGTGTACTTTTATGATCTGACGAGTGTTCAAATGGAGATCTGTGTCCTAAAGGAGACATTGAACCATAAGGAGACCTCTGATCTAATGGTGATTTTGGGCCACTACCAGAAGCTCTGTGGTCCATTTGCCAGTCTAAGTGGTACCTATAATCTCTGGAAAATTTATGATGGCTGTACTCTGAAGTGGAACGGTGATCTGAAAGTATCCTGTGATCTGAATGGGAACGGTGATCTGAATGAGGCCGACTGTCTTTTAAACTTCCTTCCAGGTTTGACCTGTGATCTCTGCTCCTGTGGTCATCCAACTTTCTATGCTTACTATCACTATAGTATCTGAAAAGATTTACTTATATTAGTATGACTGAACACATAGTAAGAACTACAATTATGTCATTAAGTAGAACTGCATTAGAGAAATTTATTTGCAATTCTGCATTACTCAGAAATGGTACTTTGGTACTTACTACAAGCATACTGCAAAACTAGGAAGGGAATTCTTAACAGATTTTACAATTGCTGAAGCAATTTACCTGCTGTCTTGTTTATAGTGATCCCAGTCTCTGTGGTCTTTTCCATTGCTGAAGGATGAATAGGACCTTTTCCTAGAGTCACTTTTCTTATGAGCATCTTGCTGATGCCTGTCCTTATGAAGATCATGGTATTGTGGCAAACGTCTATCAGAAGAATAACTGTCCCTGCTGCTGTCATCATGGTTTGTATTATCTTTCAGTCTTTCTACATCTGTTTAATAAAGCAGAGGTTATAAAGAAGTCTCGTACACAATAAATTTTTTTCTTTACCAATTCAAATAGCACTTCTACCTGTCAGATTTAAAGCAATGTGAAAGCGGAATTATAATTTGAGAAAAACAAGATCTAAATAATAGAAAGACGAATGCATTAATGTGAGTGAACCGAAAGAAACCTCAGAAGTAAATAGAAGGCAAGCAAGCCAGAAATATAGATATGTAGGGCTGAAAAACTAAAATTTTCCACCTTACAAACTGGAGAGGTCCAAATGAGCAGTGAATAGAGGCCAGGTGCTCTAGAAGAGCAATTTTAAACAGAACAGTAGGAAGTTCCTCTCTAAGGAGAGATAGTCCTCGCATGAACACCAGTTTTAGAGGTACACCTTGTTGATGAAAGGTTTTTAGTGGCATTACTAAAATACATTATACTAATTTTAAACCCATGATAACATACTCAAGGTTTTACATAACATGATAGACAACCAAGTATTATAAGAAGGCAAGCGTGGGAGCATAGAAAAACAGTATTATTGTCAACAGTAAAAGACATCCCATATGACTGGTTGATAACCATGTCATCAGGGAATATCTTTCTTATGATATTGTGTCATTACAACTGCTACAGAAAGGTATAGAACCTCCAAGAAGTGTTGAGCTGGTCATTCTCCCTCCTCAAAATTAAATGCAAAAAAAAGAATGGCCAAATAACTTGCTACTAAAATCAGTAAGTACCAAGCTCAGTCTGTGCTCAGCTGTATTTCATCATCAAACGAGTGAATTTACACTAAGTCGGGCTATCCCTATGATATCCAGCAATATGGGAGTTCTAGGAGACAGTTTTAAGCTTATTTCATTTTCCATACCATCATTTAAGATATCCAGCACAATAATGTGCTCAAGATTTCTTACCTGGATTTCTAATTACACATGTACTCACACTGCTGCTAATATTCTGGTCATTGTGTTGCTAAAAGAGACAAATATGAAAATTGTCATTGATAAATCCCAAAGTTGCATCTGAATTCTTCAGAAAATGTCCTAAGAAACAGACTAGCTTACTATACAGTAGAATAAACTTCAAATGTACCGAGTGTACTCAATCTATACTTAATAAAACAATTATAAACTTAGAATATATATTTATATATTTAGAGAGCTTGAAAGCATTACCTGAGATTCTTGACGTTTTTTGATTGCATGTTTATACAGCTTGTGCAGCTTTCTGGCATCAAATTCTGTAAACTTAGAGACAAAAATCCACAAGTTCCTGAGGAAAAAGAAAAGAGAGGTTATAATTCTTTCATATATTAATTCTTATTGTATTATACAACGGAACATGGACTTAACTATTTCAACAGTACTTCAGTAAACTGAAATCATTATAAAGTCCGATACACTGAATATTACTGTGAGAGACTGAACTGAGATCACATTCCATTGTCCACTGTCTCAAAGATTGCTGCGTGAGGAACTAAGACTATACCATCCATTACTGGTGTGAGTAACTGAGATCACATTCCACTGTCCATTGTGTGTGATCAACCAGGAATGTGAAGTAGGTACTTCCCCCTAACACATAATAAAAGGTGACAAAGTTAATCACCAGAGTAGCCACTCACCAACGAAGACTATGGATCCTCAGGACGCCACTGGATCCATGGTTTTGACAATGTCTCTGCACTATCTGTTCCAAATGCTTGCTTAATTTCTATCCTTTTTTCCAAACTGTCCTATTGCTACTAAATAATTATATATTTAATAATAATATTTTTATAATAGTTATCTTTTTATAATAAACAAATTGACTGATTGCAGTACTTGACCTTGTTTGTGCCTTAATTTCACTCTGGGGATCAGGAACAAATTATTTCTGACACTTGGTTTTATTCAGTCAGACCTTGACAATTACCAAGCTGCACAGCAAATAGTACTTAGCTGTATTTCAAGCATTTGAGAAATTAATTCCTTTAATAATTTGTCATTTTCTAATATTTATTGCAATGACTGCAGAATGCAAAGTGCATGAAAAGTAGAATTCTGTTAATAGAATTATTTGTGAAATTGCATAAAAACCTAAAGTTCAATTTCTTGCGCAATTCTTTTGAGAGATTGTTTGAAATATGACAGAAAACTTGAGTATTTACAACTCAGTAAAGATTCTTCCAAAGTTGAAATCTTGAAGTGTAAGAAATTTGACCTACATTCCTCATTTCCTAGATATCAGTGCCAGGATTTTTCTACAGAATTCCAAATCCTGGTCAAAGCTTTTGAAACCTAATGAGAAATCTGAAAGAGGATGGAAATAACCTGGCAAAACTTTTATCCTAATCTATGTTATGAAAGAGGAAATGAAAACAAATCAACTCTTAAAGACAATACCAGATCTAAGGTCTAGAATTCTTTTAGCAAAGTTTACAGTTGAAGTGCTTAAAAGACTACAGAATACTACTAAATAGTGTTTAGTTCAGAAACATCTCAAGTTTGTAGGCTCAAAAAGCATCTATCTGCTCTTTCACTGTGGTGATTGAAACATGTAGTGGTTTAAGTGCAGTCAGTAACCCACGCAGCCTGGTTGCTTACTCCCCGCCTTTCTCCCCACCCGCCTCCCCCAAGGGATGGGGAGGAGAATCTAAACTCCCACGGGCTGAGATAAGAACAGCCCAGTAACTAAGGTATAACACAAACCCACTACTGCTACCACCAATAATAATAATGATAAGGGAAATAACAAGGGAAGAGAATACAATACCACACGTTGATACCCAGCCCAACCAAGCAGTGAACTAGCCCTTCTGGGAAACTCTCAGTTACATCCTGGGTATGACGTGCTGTGGTATGGAATACCTCTTTGGACATTTTGGGTCAGGTGTCCTGTCTCTGCTTCCTCCCGGTTTCCCCTCCTCCCTGGCAGAGCATGAGCCTCACAAAGTCCTTGGTCAGGGTAAACATTACTTAGCAACAACTGAAAACATCAGTATTATCAGCACTGTTCCCAGGCTGAAAGTTTAAAACACAGCACTGCACCAGCTACTAAGAAGAAGAAAAAATGACTGCTACTGCTGAACCCAGGGCAATATCCACCCCTTATTCCATACCATTCGCGTCATGCTCAGATCCCAAATTTTCAATATACCATTGCTCTTACATATATATATATATATACACATAAAAACACACACAGACAGAGAGAGAGATCATTCCTTAGCGCACCAATCCCTATAATGCTGCTGAGTCCATACGGTCCATGATGTCAGGTTCCATCTCTTGTAACAGTCTTTTGGGGCAGGAGAGGCTGTGTGCAGTGTGGGATCGTTGTCTGCTGATGCTGATTGTTCCTTTACCACAGAACTCGTCTGGTTCTATCAAAGTTCATTCTCTGTTGGGATGATGGTCGAAGGGAAGTCAGAGCCAATAACTGGTGACCTGAAGACATCTAGCTGGTGGGCTAAAAATGTATTACATAGCAGGCAACAGCATACAATTAAGTTCATTGGCTGTTTTCCCCTGAAATCAAATCCCCTTGAGGTATACATCGGACTTACCCATCTTCCTGCATTACCCACCAAGTATATCTGGGTTCCAGAGCAAAAGCAATCCCACAAGTGGGTTTGCCTTTAATTGAAGCAGGAATAACCCAGATTGACATCCTCAACAAATTCTTCATGTGCACCACAGGAACTTTGTTCCCTCTGCAATATGTAAAAGCTCTGACTGGGATGGGCCAGCCCTGTTGGCAGATCCTCTGGTGTTGACCAACCAGGTGGCCTTTGGTAAATGTGTATCCCATTGTACCACTAGATTTTAGCAGAGGCTGGTGCATGGTAGGGCATGTAATATACCCACTCAATGCCATGCTCTTTGGCTAAGTGTCTATAAGTTTATTCCGGGAATGAGTCCCACTGTCTGACTCAGCTCTCTCGGGGAGCCGTGTAGCCACAAAATCTGTTTCTCAAGGCCCAGGATAGTGTTCCAGGCAGTGGCGTGGGGCACAGCGTATGTTTTCAGACATCTGGTGGTTGCATCCACCATGGTAAGCACATGGCGCTTGCCTTGGCGGGTTGTCGGCAGTGTGATATAGTCAACCTGCCAGGCTTCCCCATATTTATACTTCGGCCATTGTCCTCCATACCAAAGAGGCTTTAACCGTTTAGCTATCACGGGCCCATCTGTATGTTGCATCGCTGCCTTCATGGCCTGAAATGTCATGGGCCCACCGGGCCAAAAATAATTCACCTTTATGTTGCCAATCTAAGTCCATCTGAGCCACTTCAATCTTAGCCGCTTTATCCACTTGTTGGTTGTTCTGGGGTTCCTCAGTGGCCCGACTCTTGGGTACATGAGCATCTACATGACGTACCTTCACCACCGGGTTCTGCACCCGGGCAGCAATATCTTTCCACAGTGCAGCAGCCCAGATGGGTTTACCTCTGCTTTGCCAGTTGCTCTGCTTCCATTGCTTCAACCACCCCCACAGGGCATTTGCCACTATCCATGAGTCAGTATAGAGGTAAAGTACTGGCCACTTTTCTCCTTCAACAATGTCCAGGGCCAGCTGGACGGATTTTACCGCGGCAAACTGACTCGATTCACCCTCTCCTTCAGCAGTTTCTGCAACTTGTCGTCCAGGACTCCATACAGCTGCCTTCCATCTCCGATGCTTTCCCACAATACGGCAAGATCCATCAGTAAACAAGGCATACTGCTTTTCACTTTCTGACAGTTTATTACATGGTGGGGCCTCTTCCGCACGCTTCACCTGCTCCTCTGGTGACATTCCAAAATCTTTGCTCTCTGGCCAGCCCATTATGACTTCTAGAATGCCTGGACGACTGGGATAACCTATTCGAGTTTGTTGTGTAATTAGTGCAGCCCATTTACTCCATGTAGCATCAGTTGCATGATGTGTAGACGAGACCCTGCCTTTGAACATCCAGCCAAGCACGGGCAACTGGGGTGCCAGGAGGAGCTGTGCTTCAGTGCCAATCACTTCTGAAGCAGCTCAACCCCCTTCATAGGATGCCAGTATCTCCTTCTCAGTTGGGGTATAGCTGGTCTCACATCCCTTGTATCCCCAACTCCAAAAGCCGAGGGGTCAACTTCGAGTCTTCCTTGGAGCTTTCTACCAGAGGCTCCAGGTAGGACCACTCACCCTGGCTGCAGTGTAGAGTACATTTTTTACATCTGGCCCGGTCCAGACTGGTCCAAGGGCTACTGCATGAACTACCTCGTGTTTAATTTGCTCAAAGGCTTGTTGTTGCTCAGGGCCCCATTTAAAATCATCTTTATTACAGGTCACATGATAGAGAGGGCTTACAATCGAACTGTAATTTGGGATGCACATTCTCCAGAACGCCACTGCACCCAAGAAAGATTGTGTTTCTTTCTTATTAGTTGGCGGAGACATTGCTGTTATCTTGTTGATCACATCTGTGGGGATCTGGCGACGTCCATCTTGCCATTTTATTCTCAAAAATTGAATCTCGTGTTCAGGTCCCTTGACCTTATCCTTTTTATGGCAAAACTGGCTTTCAGCAGGATTTTCCTCCCTTAATCAAAACGTCTTTCGCTGTATTGCCCTACACGATAACATCATCAATGTATTGCAGATGTTCTGGAGCTTGCCCCTGTTCCAGTGCAGTCTGGATCAGTCCACGGCAGATGGTAGGGCTGTGTTTCCACCCCTGGGTCAGTTGGTTCCAAGTGAACTGGACACCCCTCCAAGTACAAGCAAACTGTGGCCTGCACTCTGCTGCCAAAGGAATTGAGAAAAAAATGCATTGACAATATTAATCGTGGCATGCCACTTGGCTGCCTTTGACTCCAGTGCATACTGAAGTTCTAGCACGTCTAGTATAGCAGCACTCAATGGTGGTGTAACATCAGTCTACTGTTAGTCTCCATTCTCCATTAGACTCCACTGTCCGTTAGACTTTTGTACTGGCCAGATGGGGCTATTAAAGGGTGAGCAGGTCCTACTGATCACTCCTTGACTCTCCAGTCTATGGATCAGATTATGGATGGGAATCAAGGAGTCTCGGTTGGTGCCATATTGCCGCTGGTGCACTGTTATGGTCGCGATTGGCACTTGTTGTTCTTCAACCCTCAGCAACCCCACAACAGAAGAATCTTCTGAGAGACCTGGCAAGGAGGACAGCTGCTGACTTTCCTCAGTCTCCAAAGCAGCAATACCAGAAGCCCATCAGTACCCTTCTGGGTCTTTGAAGTACCCTCTCCTGACGTAGCCTATGCCGAGGATGCATGGAGCCTCTGGACGTCACAATGGGGTGCTTTTGCTACTTACTCCCAGTTCAGGCTGATTTCAGCATCCAGCACAGTCAACTCCTGGGATCCTCCTGTCACTCCAGAAATATAGGTGGGTTCCACCCCTTGACAGCTTGATGGCATCAGGGTACACTGTGCACCAGTATCTACTAGAGCCTTATACTTCTGTGGGTCTGATGTGCCAGGCCATCTGATCCACAAAGTCCAGTAAATCTGACTGTCCCTTACCCCTGCCTAGCTGAAGGCAGGTCCTCTGTAATAGTCATCACCACATTGGTCACTTAGGTCTTGTTGACAGGGATTAGGCTTTATCACAGGAGTAAAATCAACTCTTCCACTCCATCTGAGAAACTGCTCACCAAAGACTGAAGCCACAGCTTTCATGGGATGATCAGCCTTGACCTTTGTTCTCTTCAATTCATGCACCCGTTCCTCAAGACCTGAGGTAGGTTTTCCATTCCACTTTCTGACCTCTTCTCTCTGATCCTGTAGGTAAAGACATAGTGTGGCCCGTGGAGTATGCCTTCTGTATCTTCTCTCTCTCCAAGTGTAGGATGCCTTTTGTTAATAGCTGAGAGGTGTGTTGGTACATGTGAGGAGCTGGATAGATCAGACAGATCGTCTCTCAATTGTTTGAGGTCCTGGGACAGTTTTTCTACAGCTGAGATGATGGAAGGGGTGAGATTGTCTTCGAACTCTCGAAGTTTATGAATCATTTCATCCACTGTTAGTGGTACTATGTCATTCCAGGTTACTGTTGCCAATGAATGGGCATATGATGACGGTGCATTCCGTGTAAGTTTTCATCACAGAGGTCATGTACATTCGACTTCATCTGTATCTATAGGTATATCCCCATTATTCGGCTTGATGTGATAGATCATCCAGACAATGGCCGATTCCCTCAGAGACTGTATGCCTTTCTCTAAAGTAGTCCACATGGCCGAACAACTCATAACATCATCCTTGTATGGAAACCTTTCTTTCACAGTTGCCAAGAGCCGCCTCCAAAGACTGAGGGACTTTTTCCCTCTTGCAATTGCTTTGTCAATTCCCCCTTCTCTAGCAAGTGATCCCAGCTGCTTGGCTTCCCTACCTTCTAGTTCATGACCATCGGCCCCATTGTCCCAGCATCGGAGCAACCAGGAGATGATGTGCTCCCCTGGTTGACAGGTAAAATCTATTCCGTAGGGTGGCGAGCACATTGTTTCTTCATCTTGCTTCATCTTTTTTTCCTCTTGTGTACAAGGACAACTACTATTGGTATGAATTGTCCTCTGGTTTAGCTGCAGTGAATATCACTGTGGCTTGAGTAGCGACTGTACTTGTTGCTGGGGGTGGTGTAGCTGCTATGCTTGGAGCTGGAGTACCTGCGCTGACTGTTGCTTTGCCCTCAGATCCAGAGACATTTTTTTCCTTTTGACGGTGCTGGATAGTGTTGAACAAGGCCCTGTAAGCATAGGCCGAGCCCCAGCACATTGCCGTGATTTGTCCGTCTCTGGTATGGCCAGAATGATCACACTCCTCATTTAAGTGTTTTACTAATTTTTCTGGATTTTGTACTTGTTCGGTGGTGAAATTCCGAAGTACTGGAGAGGCCCGCTGACCTAGATACTTGCCCATACTATCCCACACACCCTGCCACTCATGGCTGTCTAGCCTTGAGGAAAATCTCTTGGTCCTCCTATATTGCCGCCTAACCCCAGACAAGACCCAAACCTGTCTCTGCTTAACTTTTGAAATCAGATGAAATGGTCGTGGGCAAAATACATTCTGTATGCCTGACAACATGGTGATCCTCATCACAATCAGAAAACAGGTCTCAAGGGTATTTAAAGGCCAATCAAAACCCCCAAAACTCTCAAACGATGCTGCAAACGGTCTTGGGGGGTGGGGGGGAGGGTAAGAGAATTTCTCCTTCACAGTTTGACCACCCAAGAAGGAGAAAACAAAGTGTAATTGCTAAGCACTTTTATTATATACCTCCCAAAGTATAAAGGTGGTGACCACACTGGGAACATAAGCCAGATCAGTTTAATGATCAGTGACTCTATTGTATTAAAAGTCTTTAGCATGAAGTACAATGAGACAAGAACCTTAGCTCAAGCCCCCCACCTGAAAAACACTAACACAGAAAATACCGGCTGTAAGTAAGGTACAACATACTGAAACTGTGAGATCAGGAACAACAACTTTGAGAGCCAATAAATCAGCATTGTGACGAGTGACTATTAATCCAAAACAATGAATGCTTATCACAAATACCATTAGAAACACTCTGGTCAGATCTATCGTTATCTCAACCTTTCATGCTCCACCTTGGGCGCCAAAAAAAGAACTGTCATGGTTAAAGCCCAGCCAGTAACTCAGAACCACCTGGCTGCTCGCCACTCCCCCCTTTTCTTCCTTCCTCCGCTAAAGGAGGGATGTGAAGGAGATTCGAAAGAATGTAACTCCCATGGGTTTAGATAAGAACAGTCCAGTAACTAAGGCATAATACAAAACCACTACTACTACTGCCAATAAAAATAATAATGACAAGGGAAATAACAAGGGGAGAGAATAGAATTGCTCACCACACACCAACCAAAACCCAACCTGACCCGAGCAGTGATCTGGCCTTCCAGGTAACTCACCCAGTTTATATAATGGCTTCCCCTCCTCCCTGGCAGAGCATGAGGCTCACAAAGTCCTTGGTCAGACTAAACATTTGAGCAGTAACTAAAATATCAGTGTTATCAGTGCTGTTCCCAGGCCGAAAGTCAAAAACACAGCGCTGCATCACATACTAAGAAGGAGAAAAAATGACTGCTACTGCTGAACCCAGGACAAAACATTATAGCTTTGGCCTAGAGGTTGGCAAAATTAGACACAACCAGCCAATGGTGTGCCAATGACATCTGCATAAGAAATATAAAATGAAAACCTTTACTAAATTCTATGTCTTATTAGAAAGATGAAATACATAATTTAATAATATATATATGGTACTGTAGCATTATTATGAGTTAATATTATAGCTGCTCTACTATGGATTTCCACATGAAAAAAATCTGTTTATCAAGGTGTCTTTAAGACATTAATATTGTTTTTGTATTTCAGTGCACATTATCATAAAACTAACTCTAACTGAATTAAGAACATACCAACAAAATATAACAAGTTTATAAACCAACATTTTCCTTGTTTCTTTCTGAAGTTATCACCTTACAAATGCACAAGAACACTTAAAACTCTTATTTTAAAATAATATATCTCTGTGTATGGTATGCTAAATGTTTTGTTATAAAGACATAGTTAATGTCTGTTTCCATTTTAGCGTATATGTTTAAAAATAATAAAGGATTCTGCACCTCAAAATCATTCAATCTGCAACACACAAATTTATAACGGCATATTTTTAGCATGAATAAATAAAAAACTCAAAACAAAACAAACTTCAAAGTTGAAAAAGCCAGATACTTTAATGATAAACATTCTTTTCCACAAAACATTAAATATATTCTAAATACAGTTATTTTCTGTTTGCTTTTGGTTTTAAGAAGATGACTCCACCTACTGGACAAAATGCATTGCTATACAAGTATGAAAAACTGAATCCATTAAAAGCTGGAGCTATCTTTTTTATAAGTCCTTATTTAATACAACAGAAAAATACAAGAAAGGGAGAAGAAGAAACAAGAGAAATAATTAAAAAATATTCTGCTTAATAGAAGCTATTATGGATTTTCCTTTTTCAAGAAAAATAATACAGAATAACTTACTTCCTCCATTGTTTAATTTGTTCAGGATTTGTGTACTCCTTTAGACATTCAGTAATGTGGTCCCCAATTTTTATTAGGCACTGTCTAGTATGCTCAAGCTGTTCCCTTTCAGAAAGGCCTTTCTCTGGTCTATCCAGTTGCTTCAATGCTGCTTTGACAGGCCTCATTCTTTCTTTGCACTATAAAATATAAGAAAGGAATACATTAATTCAAAGGAAAATAAATGATAATAAAAATTGTAAAACATGACCCACCCTTACTGTGCTATTTATATAGGCAAAGACAGTACTGTTGCAAGCCAAATGCAAAACAAGTCTTTGCTAACAGCTCTTTTAGTTGTACTACAAGGTTACAGTTAGAAAAAGTAGCAATTTAAATCCATTTGAAAATTCACTCCTATATGAAAACATTAGATTGTATGTAACAACTATTAAAGATTTAAGAAAGCAGTACTTTATTATAAAAGATTTTCTCAGGGAAAGGAATTACTATAACTAGGTTTTACAATCATGGCTTCAATTTTCAACACAAGTATACAGGGCAAGACTTATTTTACTTTTTAGGATATTGAAAGTGATACAAACTCAGTGTAAGGATTAAGTACGAGAATATTAAATATATTTTAAGTAGATTGTTGTCATTTAAATGAAGCTGGCAACTGAGTACTGTGCAGCTGCTCATTCACCCCCTGCACTTCCCCCCTCCCTCTGTGGGATGGGGAGAACTGAAAGAATTTAAAACCTGCAAACTGAGATAAGAACAGTTTAATAATTAAAGTACAATATACTACTACTAGTACTAATGGAAATAACAAGGGGAGAGAATCTAAAGCTAAAGGGGGAAAGGAAAAGAAAACAATAAGCAGCAGTGTGTTACTGGCATAAAAACCAAAAACCATCAGTGTACTATCAGCATTATTCTCAGACTAAAGCCAAAACAAAGCACTGCACGAGCTACTAGGAAGAAAATTATCCTTCCCATAGCACAAACCAGGAGAGCATCCACCCCTTACTCCATACCAGTCATGTCATGCCAGGTCTCACACTTTCCACAATCACATTTCCTGTCTTTAGACAAAGATATACATACACACACAGATAACATTCCCTTAGTCTATGGAACATCCCTACAAAAGTTCGCTGTAATCATTCAGTCCACGACTTGGGGCTCCATCTGTGATAAAAGTCTTTCTGGGCAGAAAAGATGGATGGTGCGTGGTGTTGGATTGTTGCATGCTGAAGCGTGTTCCAATTCCATCACTGCTGCATTTCTCCAGTTTTGTCAAATTTCATTTTTCATTAATGTGGTGATCAAAAGGGAGTCAGGTTCAGATACTCAAATCCAGAGTGGTGGAGATGGGTGCATAGCCACCATGGAAGTGACAATATCCGATGTTATACAGCACTATACAGTCCAGTTCACTGGCTATTTTCATCCTAGACTAAATCCCCTTGAGGTACACATCGGACTTAGCCATCCTCCCACATTAACTACCAAGTGCAACCAGGTCTTTGAGTAAAAGCAATCCATAAGTGGGTCTGCCTTTGCCCAAGGCAGGAATAAGCCAGACTCTTCAGCAGATTCTTTGCATACACTAGAGGAACTTTCCCCTCTCCCCTAAGGTATGGAAAAGTTTTGATTGGGCTGTGTCAGCACTGTTGACAGATCCCCTGACTTTTGCTAACTGAGTATTCCAGTGTTTGAAAGTTCCACTACACATTGCTCTCAGTGTAGTTTTTAACAGCCCATTGTACCACTGGATTTTCCCAGAGGCTGGTGCAAGATAGGGGATTGGATATAACCACTCAATACCATGCTCTTTGGCCCAAATGTCCATAAGGTTATTCTGGAAATGAGTCCCACTGTCTGACTCAGTTCTCTCTGGGGTGCCTTGTGGCCACAAAATCTATTTCTCAAGGCCCAGGATAGTGTTCCGGGCAGTGGCGTGGGGCACAGCATATGTTTTCAGCCATCTGGTGGTTGCTTCCACCATGGTAAGCACATGGCGTTTGCCTTGGCGGGTTGGTGGCAGTGTGATATAGTCAATCTGCCAGGTCTCCCCATATTTATACTTCAGCCATCATCCTCCATACCAGAGAGGCTTTAGCTGCTTGGCTTGCTTAATTGAAGCACGTTTCACTTTCATGAATAACCTAGCCAATATTGTCCATTGTTAAGTCCAGCCCTCAATCACAAGCCCATCCATATGTTGCATCTCTGCCTTGATGGCCTGAGGTGTCATGGGCCCACAGGGCTAAAAATATTTCCCCCTTATGTTGCCAATTTAAATCCATCTGAGCCACCTCAATCTTAGCAGCCTGATCCAGATGTTAGTTGTTCTGATGTTCCTCAGTGGCCCAACTCTTGGGTACATCTACATGGCATAACTTCACCACCAGGTTCTTCTGCACCTGGGCAGTGATATCTTGCCACAGTGCAACAGCCCAGATGGGTTTACCTCTGCATTGCCAGTTCCTCTGCTTCCATTGCTGCAACCACCCCCACAGGGCATTTGCCACAATCCATGAGCTGGTATTGGCCATTTTTCTCATTCAGCAAAGTCCAAGGCCAGCTGGATGGCTTTTACCTCTGCAAACTGACTCAATTCACCCTCTCCTTCAGCAGTTTCTGCAACTTGTCATAGATGACTCCATACAGCCACATTCTGTCTCTGATACTTTCCTACAATATGGCAGGACCCACCAGTAAACAAGACACATTGCTTCTAACTTTCTGTCAGTTTGTTGTACAGTGAGGCCTCCTCAGCAAGTGTCACCCCCTCCTCTGGAAACATTCCAAATGCTTTGCCTTCTGGCCAGTTCATAGGAGCTATGCTTCCATGCCAGTCACTTCCAAAGCTTCTCAAACCCCTTCATATTCTGCCAATATATCTTTTTCAGTTGGAATGTAGTGGGCCATCCTCTGTATCTCCAGCTCCAAAATTTGAGTGGTTGACCTAGAGTCTCCCTCGGTGCTTTCTGCCAGAAGCTCCAGATAGGACCATTCTCCCTAGCTGCGGTGTAGAGCATATTTTTCATATCTTGAACTGTCAGGAATTTTTCAAGGGCTACTGCACAAACTATCTCTCGATTCATTTTTTCAAAGTCTTGTTATTGCTCAGGACCCCATTTGAAATGGTTCTTCTTCTGTCAAGTTATAGAGAGGGCTTACAATCAGACTGTAATTTGGGATGTGCATTATCCAGAACCCCAGAGCACCTAAGAAAGCTTGTGTTTCTTTCATATTAGTTGGTAGAGACATTACTGTTATTGATCACAGCTACTGGGATCTGACGTTGTCCATCTTGCCATTTTCTTAGTAAAAACTGGATAACCTGTGCAGGTCCCCTGAAATTACTTTATTTTATAGAAAAATGGCTTTCAGAAGCATTTGGATTATTTTCTTCTCTTTCTCAAAAACTTCTGCTGTATCACCTCACACAATGATGTCAACAAGGTATTGCACATATTCTGGAGCTTCCCCCTGAGTACTGAACGCCCCTCCAAGTAAAAGCAAAATGTGGCCAAATGGATTGAGAAAAATGAACTGGGGATATCACTTGTGGCATACCACTTAGCTGCCTTTGACTCCAATTCTAGCATGTCTGGTACAGCAGCACTCAGCGGCAGCATGACTTCATTCAGGACACAACAGTCTACTGTTAGTCTCCATTCGACTTCTGCGTTGGCCATATGGGGCTATTAAAGGGTGAAGAGGTCCTGCTGATCACTACTTGGCTCTCCTGTCTACAGATCAGCTTATGGAAGCAAATCAGGAAGTCTCGGTTGGTGCGATATTGCCACCAGTGCACTGCTGTGTTCTTTGACCTTCAGCAACCCAAAACCAGAAGGGTCCTTTGAGAGACTACGCAATGTGGGCAGCTGCTTAATTTCCTCCATCTCCAAGGCAGCTATACCAAAAGCCCATCGGCACCCTTTTGGGTCTTTCAAGTACCATTTCCTGAAATAATCTCTCCTGAAAGTATAAAGAATGTAAAGAACTGAAAACCTGCAGGTGGAGATAAGAACAGCTTAATAAGTAAAATAAAATGCAGTGACAATAGAAAGAATACCAATAATAACAATAATGACAGTAGTAGGAAAAAAAACACAAAAGAAATGAAAGCTCAGAAACTACAAGTGATGCACAACACAGTTGCTCACCACTGGCCAACCGATACCCAGCCCGACCCAAGCAGTGATCACTCCCTTCCACATAGCATTCCCTAATTTATATACTGAGCATGATGTGCCACAGTATGGAATATCCCTTCGGCTAATTTGGGTCAGGTGTCTTGTCTCTGCTTCCTCTGGGCTTCTTGTGCCCCTCCTCACTGGCAGAGCATGAGAGACTTGAAAAGTCTTTGATCAGGGTAAGTGCTACTTAGCAACAACTAAAACATCAGTGTGTTATCAGCATTATTCCCAGACTAAAGCCAAGACATGGCACTGTACCAGCGATGAGGAAGAAAATGAACTCTATCCCAGCTGAAACCAGGACAAGATACTTTATGAAACAATTAAACTTGGCATTCAACACAGGATCGGCATTCTTACTCTGAGCAGCTTATAAAGCCTACTTCTATGCAGATACAGACAGAAACTGAGACACATAGGATAAATTTACTTTAGCTGTGACAAAATTAGTAACAGTGACGACAACACAGATGTACCCATAGATATATTTCATATGTGCATTCTTGAATTTTCACAGAAATTCAAACATGCTATGTCCTGGGTTCAGCAGTAGCAGTCATGTTTTATTTCCTTTGTGGTAGCTGGTGCAGTGCTGTGTTTTGACTTCCAGCCTGAGAACAGTGTTGGTGAAGTCGATGTTTTCAGTTGTTGCTAAGTGATGTTTACCCTGACCAAGGACTTTGTGAGGCTCATGCTCTGCCAGGGAGGAGGGGAAGCCGGGAGGAAGCAGAGACGGGGCGCCTGACCCGGGCTAGCCAGGGAGGTATTCCATACCACAGCACGTAATGGCCGGGGTGGGGGGTGACTGGGAGTTACCCGGAAGGACACGGGCTTCCGGGTGGGACTCGTTTTCTTGGCGGGTGGTGTCGTGTTCTCTTCCCTTGTTATTTTCCCTTGTCGTTGTTGTAGTTGGTGGTGGCGGTGGTGATTTGTGTACATTGGTTGCTGGACTGTTCTTGTCTCGGCCCGTGGGAGTTGTAGTT